CTCCGATGGGGACATCACAAGTTCTAACCAACTAGCGAGAAATTGAAGGGAGTTTCATTCTTTGCAGCCATCCAGTTATTGGCACTTTGAGGGTCTGTTGTTATCACTTGGAGAGCCCTGGAGGCCATTTGGGAGTTTATCTGTATCTTTAGGGTCACATGAATCGGGCGGCAAACAGGTGTGGTACCTCCCTGGAAGGATTGTGCTGGAAGGATTGTGCTGTGAACAGGAGAGGGGGTGTCGTATCTCTCCCCCTCCTTTGAGGGAGGACTGTTCAATTTTAATCTAGATAGCTTCTTTGACTCCTCTTTCAAACCAGGGGTCTTCTGTCCAGAACGTCAACTTTACTGTCCTGAGCGGAGTTGACTCTCCTCTTGCAGATGCAAATGAGCAGCTGAATCTTGTCTTGCGGAGTTTGTTTGCATTTCTGAAATGGTTGTTTAGTTGCCTTAATGTGCAGGTCAGTCACGTCTGCAGAGCTTACAAAAACCACCACCACGGGACACAGAATAGCAATGCAACTCAAGATAGGCAAGGAGATGATTGAGAACGCCTATCCACTTCAGACCAGTTCAAATCATCAGAAGGAAATGGATCACTTCCCAGAGTCCAGAAGGAACTGGCAGAATTGATCTTGGAGCCACTGAACATAATATTTCATTGCTTCTTGAAGTACAGTGAGACTACCAAAGGAGTGGAAAGGAGCTGTGGTGCTGCAGACTATGGCCTCCTTCAACAAAATGCAGATACTTGTATATAAGTAGCACATATTAAACTTTTAGTGCTTGGAACTCAAGTCCCGTTCCTGGTTATTTGTGCCTGACAAATGCTGTGGATATTGTTTACTTAGACTTCAGTAAGGGAGTTGAGAAAAGACCACAGCCTACTTCTTGTTAAGACAGAGCAGTGTGGGATAGATAGTACCACCATCAGATGGATTCACAACAGGGTGACCAACCACACTCAATGGATTCACAACAGGGCGACCAACCGCACTCAGCGGGTCATCTTCAATGGGACTCCTATACAGAGGGAAGCATGCAGTGGGTTATCTCAAGATTCTGTGTTAAGCCCAGTAATCTTCAGTATCTTCATATAAATTATCTAGAGCGGATAGAAGGGGAACTTGTCAAATCCAAGGTGTGTATGGGGGGGAAATAGGTAAAATTTTAGACGACAGGCTCAAGATTTAAAAGTTCCTTTTTAGACTTGAGCAGTGGACCCTATCTGGCAAAATGCAATTTAGTGGTGAGAAAAGTCAGGTCCTATGCTTAGGCAAGAAACACCAAATGGACGCCTATAAAATAGATAGAAGCTGGCTCAATAGATCAATGGGGATACAGAATGGATGAATGCCATCCTCAAGCAATCTCAGGTGCTTTGTGAATTAACAGTAGGACAACTGGGTAGATGTGCTAGCGGTGGCTGAGTTTGCATACAAGAACTCGTAATACCTCCATCCCAGTGATCCCATTCTTCGTCAGTTACGGTTTTCACCCGCATCTTTCCCTTAGTCCCATTAGACTCTCCCATGCTTCCGGTGAACGTATTCCTCCAAGAGCTTTGGGCTGGGCACCAAGTGGTAAAACACCAGCTCAACAAGGCCAAGGAGGACTACAAGAAGTTTGCTGACTGTCATCACAGACATTCCGCTAGCCGTGGGGAATTGGATTTGGCTTTCCACATGACGCCTCCCTTCAAGTCAGGCGTCCAAAAAACCACCACCACTATCTAGGCCCATTTCCTGTCGAAGCCGTGATCAACCCTATCACCTTCTGGCTAACCTTGCCTTGAAGCATGAGGATCCACCTGGACTGGCAATCAGGGACTTCAGGTCATGCTGTCTGACAAGCCAGCCTGTGTTCATGGATTTTGGGTTTTAGCTGTCATCCTGTCTGCCTGACGTAGAACTGGATTTTTTTTATCTGAGAATAAAAAATGTGTTGAACGTTGTTGTCTTTTCTCCCAACTGTGTAATACATGTTGGTAGACACAATCCACTGTTCATTTGTGAACATTGTGCTGAGCAAAATAGTATCCATAAACAATATTGGCAATTTTAAAACAGGAGAGTTCTAGACTGAAAGACCAACTGTATGCTTGAGTTCTATAGCAAAACGAAAGGTTTTTTCCCCCCTGAACTTCTAAACTGTTTTGATCACCAGAAATAACCAAAATATTGGTGCCTTTTGAGGGAGCTGTTTCAAAACATCGTACAATGGCAACTGCAAAGGGTTTGTCATTTTATAAAAGCTTTATGATTAATTGTATTATTTTAAATGCTATTTTTCTTTTGGTAAACATTGAAAATGTGATTAGCTTGAAATAAATTACAACAAGTCTATTATTATTACGGCAAATAATGTAGACAATTACTGAAAGCTCTGCTAATACCGCAAAATGCTGTTACAAATTAATATAAATTAATTGCTGCGTTGGATGAGTCCTGAAGTATCTGATAATTTTCCATTTCCAGCTCTGGAATAGACGTAAAGTGTTTTATTACAGCACTATTTCAAAGATGTTTAATGAAAGCCAAAACAAAGTTAGAATATGCAGAAATTTATGCATAGCCTTTCACACCACTACAGAGGAAAAACAAGGCAATTGATTGTGTTGCTGCAAAAGCTATTCAGGCAATTAGTGCCATACATTTGAAAACCAAATAGAAATCTATTTTCTTTTTATTGTATCTGTGTCCCTGCATCACTGAAAGTGCACCAACTGAATAAAGATTATTTGCTTATTTAAAAAGAAGGATAAAAGCTGTAACCACAATACCACTCTTGAATTAATGCCGTCATCTTATTGTCTTCTCTGTATCCTCTACATACAGTAGTGGCCAAAATTGTGGAAACCTTTTGAGAAAAGTGTACAGTAGAAATGCCACCTTTGGTTAAGTTTCCACCCATTTTTCTTCTAATTTCTGTATAACTGTAGCCTTGTTCACTTAATAATATTATTTTACATCGCTTTCTGGGCAACCAGTCACCTCTTTGCACCATGACTTTAATTTTATTACATTTTACAAGCTCACTAAATGAAAGAACACAAAAAACCCAACCAACTTGATAGCGATCACATAACACACTGACCAATGTCCTCCTCTCAGCTTCAATACATGAGATCAATAATTGAATCTTACTGTGATCTGATTGGCTCATTGCCTTTTGTTCTACTGTGGACTAACCGAGAGATTTGTGAGAGTAACTATGGTTAGATTCGTTCAACACGAAGGAAAAAGACCAATAAACCGATATTGCAAAGTATCTTGTGTCATGTCTATTAACTTGTTTGATACAACGCAAGGTAAGAGCTAATTTAATAGAAAGGTAACTATATATTAAAATACCATGATGAGGGGGGGCAAAAAAAGTGGTGTTATTAGCCATCAAATCTCAAAAATACACTTTTCCCAAAAGGTTTCCACAATTTTGGCCACTACTGTAACCAATTCTGCGGCAGCAGAGAACCACACACACACCCCAGGCTTTGTTGTAGCTACCGAACCCGTTTTAGACACTAAAAAAATATACTGATTCCCTTAACAGGAGCAGAGCCTCAGAGTGGCAATACTGATTCTCAAGTTCCTAGACATTTCTTTCCAGTTATTCCAGCCATAGTTCACAGTTCAAAAGATTCCCAAAGTAGACTATTAGCTGGCCATATATTGTATATATATTTGGAGAAAGCAATTGCACTGTTAGCGGGAAAGATTTCCTACACCTTGACAAATAGGGAGAAATAGCCACAGGTAGCCTTTTGTTATCACAGAAAATGCCTCCGAGATATCATGTAGAGGTAGTCCTCAAATTACAACCACAACTGAGCCCCAAATTTCTCTTACTAAGTCAAGACAGTTGTTAAGGTGAGCTTTGCCCCATTTTACGACCTTTCTTGCCACAGTTGTTAACTGAATCACTGCAGTTGTTAAGTTAGTAACACGGTTGTTAAGCGAATCTGGCTTCCCCATTTGACGTTGCTTGTCAGAAAGTCGTAAAAACGACTCTGGGACACTACAACTGTCATAAAGATGAGTCGGTTGCTAAGCACCTGAATTCTGATCACCTGCAATGGTCGTCAGTGTGAAAAACGGTCATAATTTAACATTTTTCAGTGCCACTGTTAACTTCAAACAGTCACTAAATGAGCTGTTGTAAGTTGAGGACTACTTGTATGGCATCCTTAATTATTCTCTGGGTCGTGAATTGCCACGCATGTGGCATTTGCAGCTTTTTCCTATTACCTTTCAAGTACTGTCCTGTATTTGAACTGTCTATTGGAGAGTTCAGTGGTCACAGATCAGTTTTAATTTATCAATATTATCATTAGCTGTTAAATGACATAAAAGACTATTCGATCCAACCATTCTGGGTAGTCTCAATTTAATATCTGTATTACTTATTTATTTTTAAGCAATATGTTTTATATTACTACGGCAATATGCTTGTTCTGCACTGATTCTACAATGTGGGAAGAAATCTAAACATGGGAGAAAGGGTGAGAAACAACTGATTTAAATAATACAGCTGTATCTGAACAGATATCCAACTTGGTTGCACTGAAACATCCCATTCTGGTTCAGCTTATAAAAATCAGATGGACTTGAGACAGAGGACCATAGGGGTTTTTTTTTTAAAAAAAAACCCGTTTCGTTATTAGCTATGTTTTTTCTTCTCTTTTCTTTATGTTTTAGAAAAACAATACTTCTGCAGAAGGCTTATCGTGAAACATTAGAAATTGTGAGTGAAAAGTGAAAGGCGGGCGCAGAACTGCTAAAGAAACAAGGCAGAAATAACTGCAAAATATGTGAACGTTACTCAGAAGCACCTCTGGCACCAAAGGATTTTTACACATTCTCTGACCCTGCCCCTATTTGCTTTAGCATCTGCAGCCTATCAAATTGACAATTCATCAAATGTCTTCAGCTTCTTCAACGCTTTCATTGTTCCGGTGTCCTCGGACGTTGCTTTTGGTCAGGGTGTGCAGCACCTGACGCATCAGCGAATCAAAAACGTGTGCAGGTAGATTTCTCTTTCAATCCATTCAATAAAGTGAGACACGTTACTATAAACTCCAGGACCCATAACTTTGGAAAAACAGACCGAGCCCCAAGAAGTCAAACCAAATAACGTCCAGCGTCCAGCCGGCTGCTCACACACAAGAGGTCCTCCGCTGTCACCCTGTAGGAATATGGATATTATTTTAGTTTAAGATAACTTAGATTAGACTCTGATCATTGTTAACAGTGATGGCTTCTGGATGGTTCTTATTAACTAACAGAAAAAAAAGGCATTTGCTACTGAAAGGAAATTGATTTCTAGCTGTGTCTTGAGATATACCTTAGTCCCTGGATAATTCTGGGCGGTCACAATAGCAAAATGATGACTGCTTTGGAAGTCCAAATAATAATAATAATAATAATAATAATAATAATAATAATAATAATAATAATAATAATAATAATAATAATAATAATAATAATAATAATAATAATAATAATAATAATAAAAAGTTGGAAGGGACCATGGAGGTCATCGAGTCCAACCCCCTGCTCAGGCAGGAACCCTACACCATTTCAGACAAACGGCTGTCCAGTCTCTTCTTAAAAACTTCCAGTGTTGGAGCATTCACTGCTTCTGGAGGCAGGTTGTTCCATTGGTTAATGGTTCTAACTGTCAGGAAGTTTCTCCTTAGTTCTAGGTTGCTTCTCTCCTTGATCAGTTTCCATCCGTTGCTTCTCGTCCTGCCTTCAGGGGCTTTAGAGAATAGCTTGACTCCCTCTTCTTTGGGGCAGCCCCTGAGATATTGGAATACTGCTATCATGTCCCCCCTCGTCCTTCTCTTCGTTAAACTACACATACCCAACTCCAGCAACCGTTCCTTATATGTTTTAACCTCCAGTCCCCTAATCATCTTTGTTGCTCTTCTCTGTACTCTTTCTAGAGTCTCAGCATCTTTTTTACATCGTGGTGACCAAAACTGGATGCAGTATTCCAAGTGTGGCCTTACTAAGGCATTGTAAAGTGGTATTAACACTTCATGTGATCTTGATTCTATCCCTCTGTTAATGCAGCCTAGCACTGTGTTGGCTTTTTTGGCAGCTGCAGCACACTGCTGGCTCATATTTAAGTGATTGTCCACTAGGACTCCGAGATCCCTCTCACAGTTACTACTATTGAGCAAGGTACCCCCTACACTATACCTGTACATTTGGTTTTTCTTGCCTAAATGTAGAACCTTACTTTTTTCACCATTGAATTTTATTTTGTTAGATAGCGCCCAGTGTTCAAGTCTGTCCAGGTCCTCCTGTATCTTAAGCCTGTCTTCTGGAGTGTTGGCTATTCCTGCCAGCTTGGTGTCATCTGCAAATTTGATGAGTTCCCCATCTATCCCCTCGTCCAAATCATTGATGAAGATGTTGAAGAGCACTGGGCCCAGAACAGAGCCCTGGGCCACCCCACTACACACTTCCCTCCATGTAGATGCGGTTCCATTGAGGACCACACGCTGAGTACGGCCGGTCAGCCAGCTACAAATCCATCTGGTGGTGATGCTTATATACATCAATGCTGCAAATACAGCTGGAATATTATGAGCAGTTATTGTGGCTGCTCCTCAAAAAAGGATATAGTGGAGCGAGAGAATGTTTAATTGATTGTCCACTAGGACAGGTTCTAGGAAGAGGGTCAATGACGATAATTCGGACCAAAGGTGGATTAGACATGCACGCGAAAACAAAAAAGAACGAATTGGATAGTAGACCCGACAACCGTTAAGAACGGTCGAATTATAGTAGACCTGTAAACCGTTCAAGGGGAAGATTAGGGAGTAGATTCAGTAAATACTTCTGAACCTAGTCTATCTTCTTAAACCTCAAATTGCATCACAGTCAATAACCTGCAAGAAGAACGATCTCACAAAGAGAGCATTACTGTAATCCAATGCTTCTCAACTGGTTTGGGGAATTCTGAAGATTGAAGTCCACCCATCTTAAAGTTGCCACGGTTGAGGAACACTGATGTAATCTAGTATTACTACAACAGTAGGCTGTTCTGGTCTAGAAAAGGCATAACGGATGTACCAGTCAAAGCCCAAAGTCATTACAGATACTCCCACCTGCCCAGTTCACTATGAAAGTGGTCAACCTGACGTTTTTCCACTGTACTAGTTAACAGAATCCTTCTAGGACTGTGACTGCAAGCTGATCTCAAAAAGATTTCAAAAGCATTACTACTATATTTTATTTGAACAATTTATTCCCTGTATGCATTTATTCTCTGAAATTTGTGATATACTTTCTTCAAACGCAATATACTCGGAAAGGAAAGGAAAAACTGTATGGGAAATTTTCTTGCCAACATCCAAAAATATCCTAAAACAGGCAAGAAAAAGAAAAAGGAAGGAAGGAAGGAAGGAAGGAAGGAAGGAAGGAAGGAAGGAAGGAAGGAAGGAAGGAAGGAAGGAAAGAAGGAAGGAAGGAAGGAAGGAACGAACGAACTTGATTAGCAAAAAATCTGAAAATCTGGCTTTTAAACCTTTGTCTACAAAAAGTGTGGACTTTCGGTTTCCCTTTGTGAACAGCCTTACCATGCAAGAATCCACAGTTCCAGACTCGTAGCCTGCACATAACATCCTGACTGTGATGGTCTTCATGTCAAAGTAAGACTGACATTGGTCCAAAGAAATAATGCGCACTTCCCCTTCCTGCAGTTTGAAGGGCACTAAGCAGAAGGAAAAAACACAACTGGGTCAGAATCTACAGCTGCATAAAGCATAAGATAGATTGGTAGGTAGGTAGGTGGGTAGGTAGGTAGATACAGACAGATGATAGACAGACAGACAGATAGATGGTAGACAGACAGACAGACAGACAGATGATAGAGACAGAGAGACAGAAAGATAGATGATAGACAGAGACAGACAGAAAGATAGATGATAGATATAGATTGATAGACAGACAGATGATAGACAGATGATAGATAGATAGATAGAATTAGATAGATAGATAGATAGATAGATAGATAGATAGATAGATAGATAGATAGATAGACAGACAGATAGACAGATAGATAGACAGATAGATAGATAGACAGATAGATAATCTGACAGACAGACAGACAGACAGACACTTTATTGTCATTTTTTACTGTGGGCACACTGGCACACATTAAAAATGAAATTTTGTTGCTTGCTCTCAAAAGTGTACACATACATAACACACATTTAAACATGCTATATACAACCTATGTATATGCCTACACCCTTACATATAAATATTAATCACTGTCCATCTTGAATACTTAGCAGAAAGAGGAAACTTTAGAGTTCACAAGGTTAATACTGTATGGAACAAAACTGTGACTGAATCTGGATATTCTGCTACGGATACCATGAAGCCCCCTCCTCCCAGAAGGTAACAAGGAAAACAGGTCGTGAAGAGGGTGTGTGGTGTCCCAGACAATCTTGCGGGCCCTGCTCAAGCAACGCTTCTGTGCTATGTCCTGGATGGGAGGGAGGGAGCTGCCAATGACCTTTTCGGCCATCCTCACCACTCTCTGCACCGCCTTCCTGTCTGAAGCAGGGATGCTTCCAAACCAGACGGTGATGCTGTATGACAGGATGCTCTCGATCCTCCCCCTGTAGAAAGTGGTCAGGACAGGGGAAGGAAGGCGTGCTTTTCTCATGCGACGCAGAAAATGCAGGCGTTGCTGTGCCCGCTTCACCAGTTTCTCACTGTTGAGCAACCAAGCCTTAACTCTACACCCAGAAATTTGATGCTGGAAACCATCTCCACAGGTGAATTATTAATACACAGAGGAGTGTGGCTGTGCCTGCCTTTTCTGAAATTGACAATGATCTCTTTGGTTTTACTAATGTTTACAAGTAGGCTGTTTTAAATGAGGCCACCTGCCCGATCAAAGCTTCATCCTTTGTGCACTGACATCACACATGTCTAAGGGGATGGTGGTGCATCACAAAGTTGCACCCACAATCTCAGCCTTCTGTTCCATCCCTCTCCCTGGTGGACATTCGCATATATTCATACGTTCTGATATTTTTTTAGTGCAATGGAAGGGTTTTCATTTGTTGCTTCAAATGCAACACTGCTTGTAGACCCACTACCTTCTTATTGTTCACTGGAAACGGAAGACAATTATAGCGACTAAACCAGGGGTAGGCAACCTTGGCTCTTTTATGACTTGTGGACTTCAACTCCCAGAATTCCTGGGAGTTGAAGTCCAACTGGCTATGGCAGGGGTGTCAACTGGCTATGGCAGGGGTGTCAAACTCAATTTCATTGAGGGCCGCATCAGCATTGCGGTTGCCCTCGGGGGGGCGGGGTGTGTGGCCAGAGTGGGTGTGGCCTACTGGGTGGGTGTGGATGGAGTGGGTCTCTGGCAGAAGGGGGTGGGACCGGGGCAAGTGCCAAGGCATGGTCCACTGGAGGAGCCTCACTGCCTGCTGAAACCCCTCTGCCGGAGCCCATCAAGCCGGATATGTGAAGTAGGCAAGGGCCATTTGCTGGCCACTTCCAGGCGATGGTCCATTTCTTCATTCCTCAAAGAGTGACACCTCCCCAGCATGCACCCAGGGGGAGGGGCCGACACGGCAGGGACTGGTTCCTCACTGTTTCCAGACGGCCTTGTAGAGTTAAGACTGAATGCGTTTCAGCATAGATGGCCACCACAAAATTGTACATTGGCTCCCGGCCGGCCTGGGCCAGGGCCAAGGCAGCGGGGGCCGTTCCCTCACTGTTTCCAGGATGGCTTCGCGGGCCACATGAAACCACTTTGTGGGCCGCATCCGGCCCCCGGGCCTTGTATTTGACATGTCTGGGCTATGGTAAAAGAGAAACAGATTTTCAGGAGAACATGGATACGCGACACTTACTTTTGTTGCCCATGTGTCCCCAGCCAGTGATGTAGCAATAGGTATTTGGCTTAACCAGCTGCTCCCTGGTGGGAAGGCAAATTGGTCGGACGTAGCTGGTCTCATTGATGTCTTCACTGAGCTCCACAATGCTGATGTCGTAGTCCACCACCGCACGGTTGTAACGAGGGTGCAGAATAATTGTTTTCACCAGGCGGATTTGCATGAAGGCTGAAGGATGGTCCAAATTGTTGATGCCAAAAACTACTTTCCATACCTTCGGGTTTTCTCTCCTTGGGAAAAAGGAAGGCGTAAGATACCAGTGAAGATTCTAAATCTCTCTACTGCAGCGGTTCTCAACATATGGGTCGCGACCCCATTTGGGGTCGATCAACCATTTCACGGGGGTCGCCAAGCAAGGCTGTCCGCCATTTTTTTCCCCTTTTCCGGCGGGTGCCTTACCTCCCTTGAGCTGGGCCAGCTGGTGGTCGGCCTGCTCCGTCTCTGCCACTTGCCAGCTACGCCTCGGCCGGTGCAGGGGGCGGAACCACGCATGCGCGGCGCTCCCAGGCAGGGAAAGTCCTCGACTTACGACCGGTTGGGTAGTCCTCGACTTACGACCGGTTTAGTCCTCGACATACGACCGGTTTAGTCCTCAACTTACGACCGGTTTAGTCCTCGACTTACGACCGGTTGGGGGTTGCGGCATTAAAAAGGTTGAGAACCACTGCTCTACTGTAAGTCATTTATGTACTTCACTCTCCTGCTGGATGCACAACAACTACAGGCAGTCCTCGACTTACGACAATTGAGCCCCAAATTTCTGTTGTCAAGTGTTACGTGAGTTTTTCCCCTTTTTATGACCTTTCTTGCCTCCGTTGTTACTGCAGTTGATAAGTTAGTAACCCGGTTGTTAAGTGAATCTGGCTTCCCCATTGACTTTGCTTGTCAGTTGATAAGTTATTAACCCTAACTCTAATTCTAAGAGTAAAACATAAGAAGGAAAATGGCGGCATCTCCATATGTTGTCAAAGCAAGAACGTCCAATGTTAGCAGCGTTGACACAAAGCTTTAATCATGTCAACTAGCTTAGAATCCTCTCTCTAATTACAATGCCCATCCTATTTCCGAAGCATTCTCAGCGCTACTCACCCTTCAAAGCAGTGTGCCACCGTTAAGACCCATTTCTTTGCTATGAGAACACAGCCACAGATATGCCCACTGGGCTCGCTCTGGAGCGAGCACTGCCATGGCCAACGTCCTGAGCGACTGGTCCTGCCCCCGAGGATCCTCTTGCTCATCCGAGCTGCAGGGCGACGGCCACAATCTTTTAGGAAAAAGATCAGCTGGTTAAGTAGGGGAAAAGTGACTGCATTTCCTGGAAAGCTTTAGCATCTATTCCACAACAATCTCACAAGAAGTAGTACACCTGGAGACACAGTAAATGTACAAAATCTGCAATATCATTAAACTTAAATGACACTAACAATGTTAGTGAGTCCCCTGGACTGCAAGGTGATCAAACCAGTCAGTCCTAGAGGAGATCAACCCTGACTACTCTCTAGAAGGCCAGATCCTGAAGTTGAAACTCAAATACTTTGGCCACCTAATGAGAAGGAAGGACTCACTGGAGAAGAGCCTGATGCTGGGAAAGATTGAGGGCAATAGAAGAAGGGGACGACAGAGAATGAGGGGGCTGGATGGAGTCACTGAAGCAGGAGGCGTGAGCTTCAATGGACTCCAGAAGATGGTAGAGGACAGGAAGGCCTGGAGGAACGTTGTCCATGAGGTCGCGATGGGTCGGACACGCCTTCGCAACTAACAACAACAACAATGTAAGAAAATTCCTGATTAAATAAAAGACGAAACACCAATTTTAGGTTAGGTCAAATTGTGGGCAACTTTGCTGCACTGAGCAGGAAGCTGGAGTAGAAGACTTCTAAGGTCCCTTCCAATTCTATAGCTCTGTTAGCTTAACTAAACTTGCAGACAAGGTGCTTTGGAGCCTCAATGAATATCGGGGCAAGAGGAAGTAACCCAACCTCATTTATTTGTCCAAGCAAGTTCCTTGCTTCCTTAAAAGGAAGAACAAGGCACAGCCAACAGTGTTTTGGGGTTTGCAAAACTACCAAGAGTGATAAAAATGCCAAGCAAAGAAAAAAAAATCCAATCCAAAATATGAAGAATGATGGAAGGAAGTGAATGGAATGGAGAATGGCTGTTAAAAAAAAAACCCACACTAAATGTTCAGTCTAACAGAATTACAGAGTTGAGAGGGACCTTGGAGGTCTTCTAGTCCAACCCCCTGCTCAAGTAGGAGACCTTACTTACACCATTCTGGTTCTTGCCTTATAATAATACAATAATAATAATAAAGTTGGAAGGGACCTTGGAGGTCATCTAGTCCAACCCCCTGCTCAGGCAGGAAACTCTATACCATTTCAGACAAATAGCTGTGCAGTCTCTTCTTAAAAACTTCCAGTGTTGGAGCATTCACCGCTTCTGGAGGCAGGTTGTTCCACTGGTTAATTGTTCTAACTGTCAGGAAGTTTCTCCTTAGTTCTAGGTTGCTTCTCTCCTTGATTAGTTTCCATCCGTTGCTTCTTGTCCTGCCTTCAGAAGCTTTGGAGAATAACTTGACTCCCTCTTCTTTGGGGCAGCCCCTGAGATACTGGAACACTGCTATCATGTCTCCCCTCGTCCTTCTCTTCACTAAACTAGACATACCCAATTCCAGCAACCGTTCCTTACATGTTTTAGCCTCCAGCCTTAATATTCTGTTTCTGGGCTTCTGGAAGGCATAACTTTTCCATTCAGAAAGTAAAATGCTGCCCCTTGATAAAGATCCCACTTTTATTCTCCCCAATGAATTGTTTTTTTTAAACTCTCAAGAATGAGTGGATAATTTGGAAGTATCTAATTTACTTCTTCATGCTTCTATGAGTTATGATCTTACCTTCTTTGGCACAGAGGAGAGAAACCACATTCTTGCTTTTACATGGTAACCTAGATGTAGAAACAACAGCTTAACGAAGCTCAAGTTTCATCAGCATAATGTAGAAGTGCAGGAATCATATCTACTGGGAAAACTTTTATTACCTTTTATCCGTATCATTAAAATATGTGCTTGGAACCTGGAGGACACTTGATTTCTAAAGGCAGTTACTTTGATGCTTCATTTATTCCTCTCAACAGTCCTCAGGACTGGCAACTAGACCAGTGATGGCGAACCTTTTAGAGACTGAATGCCCAAAAACTGGCCCCGCCCCCACTCCGCCCTCCTGCCCCGCCCCCCCACTCTGCCCCCCATCCCATGCCCCGCCTGCCCACAGGACCACTCACCGCCTCCAGGGCCCGCCGCTGATCGCCCAGGCAGCCCAGCAGCGCTATGGCGGCCACACCCTCTGCCCGCGCCCTGCAGCATCAACTGCATGATGGGGTGTGAGGGCAGAGTCTTGTCTACGCTGCCTGGCTGCCATGTCCTTGGTGGCGCTGCTCCGTGTGGGCCACGCTTGAGGGCGACTCTCCTTCAGGAGGGCTGCTGGAGAGGAGGGGGTCACGGGGGGAGGCAAGGCTGGGGCAACGGCACGTGTGCCCACAGAGAGGGCTCCGAGTGCCGCCTCTGGCACCCGTGCCATAGGTTTGCCACCACTGAACTAGATCAACTATCAGCTGAAAACCAAAGCCGAATAGGTTTTTTTTTTAATTGAAAGTGGGACTCAGTCAAAGTACAAATGTCCTCGACTTACAACGGTTCCTTTAGTGACCGTTCAAAGTTACACCAGCACTGAAAAATGGGACATGGCTATTTTTCACACCTACGACCTTTGCAGCATCCCCATGATCACTTGATTAAAATTCGGACGCTTGGCAACGGGTTCCTATTTATGACGGTTGCTTTGTCCCGGGGTCATGTGATCCCCTTTGACAAGCAAACTCAACGGGGAAGCCTTAACAAGCAGGCTACTAACTTAACAACTGAAGCGATTCACTTAACAACAGTGGCAAGAAAGGTCGTAAAATGGGGTTAAGTAAAACTCTCTTAACAAATGTCTCACTTAAAAATAGAAATTGTGGGCTCAACTGTGGCCGTAAATCTACTTCCTTTTTATACACGGACTGCCTACAAATGGAGAGGGCTTCTGTGCAATTGGAAACCCACACTGAATACCTCCAGATCACAATGGGGAGTATCACACCAGAAAGGTTGTTAAACAATTCAAATAAACAAGCCTATTTACATCCTCTATGGCGGGATGTCAAACTCAATTTCATTGAGGGCCGCATCAGCATTGCGGTTGCCCTTGGGGGGCCAGGTGGGTGTGGCCAAGGTGGGTGCAGCCTACTGGGTTGGGCCTACTGGGTGGGCGTGGATGGAGTGGGTGTGGCCTACTGGGTGGGCATGGCCAGCTCTACATTGTTCCCGTCAATGGTGCCTGTGGGGGCCTGGGCAGGAGTGGGACAGATCTGAGGGTCTCTGGCAGAAGGGGGTGGGACCGGGGCAAGCGCCAAGGCATGGTGCATTTCTTCATTCCTCACAAAGGGTGACACCTCCCCAGCATGCACCCAGGGGCGGGTCCGACACGGCAGGGGCTGGTTCCTCGCTGTTTCTAAACAGTCTTGTGGAGCTAAGACTGAATGAGTTTCAGCATAGATGGCCACCACAAAATTGTACATTGGCTCCTGCCCGGCCTGGGCCGGGGCCAAGGCAGTGGGGGCCGTTCCCTCACTGTTTCCAGGATGGCTTCACAGGCCACATGAAACCACTTCGCGGGCTGCATCCGGCCCCCAGACCTTGTGTTTGACATGTCTGGTCTATGGTGGTGCAGTGTTTAGAATGAAGTACTGCAGGCTACCTCTGCCCCACAGCCTGGAGTTCAATCCTGACTGGGCTCAAGGGTGACTCAGTTTTCCATTCTTCTGAGGTCAGTAAAATGAGGGCCCAGATCGTTTGGTGGGGGCAAGAGGCTGACTCTGTAAACCGCTTAGAGAGGCCTGTAAAGCACTGTGAAGCGGTATATAAGTCTAAGTGCCATTGCTATTATACGCAACATCCCAGTTCTTGTTGTTATGAAATCTGAGTTCTATCTATGTGCCTAGGCTGAAGGAATTAACTTTGAGGAACAGAAGGAAGAACCACTTCCAAGGCAATGGTTAGATAAAAGAACTTTTAATCTGGAGAAGAAATATAATCTGAGAAAGCTTCAGATGTTGACCCTCCCTAGTTCTTATGAAGATAAAGAGAGGGAGGGGAAAAATGTATTCAGACTTGCAAGATTCTGTTACTTTAACCCAGTGGTTCTCAACCTTTTTAATGCCGCGACCCCAACCGGTCGTAAGTCAAGGACTAAACCAGTTGTAAGTCAAGGACTACCCAACCGGTCGTAAGTCGAGGACTTTCCCTGCCTGGGAGCGCCGCGCATGCGTGGTTCCGCCCCCTGCGCCGGCTGAGGCGTAGCTGGCAAGCGGCAGAGACGGAGCAGGCCGACCACCAGCTGGCCCAGTCCAAGGGAGGTAAAGCACCCGCCGGAAAAGGGGAAAAAAATGGCAGACAAAAAAAATGGCGGACAGCCTTGCTTGGCGACCCCCATGAAATGGTCGATCGAACCCAAATGGGGTCCCGACCCACAGGTTGAGAACCACTGCTTTAACCTTACAATAAAAGTAGCATCACCATTCATAATGTTTTCTCTAGTCCAGGGGTAGGCAACGTTGGCTCTTTTATGACTCGTGGACTTCAAGTCCCAGAATTCCTGAGCCAGCCATGCATGGCTGGCTCAGGAATTCTGGGAGTTGTAGTCCACGAGTCATAAAAGAGCCAAGGTTGCCTACCCCTGCCCTAGTCTATTCTAGCTTGAAGGGCTGACTTGGTGCTGCATTTAAGACTGATGGGTTCTCTCCAGATATTCTCTCCACCCACAGAGTATAACACTATGGTAGCTATTTCTTACCCTGTTACTAAAAGAGCATGCAGTGTGAACCTAGTTTTCTTCTCCCAATCAGGATGTAGGTTCAACCATTTTGCTTGTAGTGGAAGCTCATACACTGGAATAAGTTCTGTCACAGCTGGTCCACTGGGGGGGAAAAAACACATACATTCAAGGTAGTTCAAGTGGGTTTATTTATAGTAGAATTCTAGGCACGTAAAATGGGATGGGACCCCCACTGAGCAGTCACAGACACCATCTTAACTTGTTTTTACTCTCCCTTGGGATGCCCCAAAACAAGGGCTACCACCACATGAAGGCCCATATGTCAGATAAAGTGCTTTTATACATTATATTCTCCGTGGCCTAAACCAGAGGAAGGCTGTTCCTGTATCATCTGCATGGGCCAGAGGTGGGGAACTATGGCCCCTTAATGACTTGTGGACTTCAACTCCCAGAATTCACGGAAAAGGGTGATCACGTGATCGCAGGACATAGCAACTGTCATAAATATGAATCCGTTGCCAAGCATACAACTTTTGATCATGTGACCATGGGGATGCTGCAACAGTCCTAAGTGTGAAAAATGGTCATTAAGTCACTTTTTTCAGTGACACTGTAACTTTGAATGTCACTAAATGAACTGTTGTAAGTCAAGGTTTATCTGTATACAGTGGGGAGATTAATCAACAAATGCAGAGATCACGTCTCATAATAATATTAAATCCTGTGATTTAGAATAGAACTGGAAGGGACCTGGAGGTCTTCTAGTCCAGTCCCCTGCTCAAGCAGGAGAACCTATATCAGTTATCTGAAATGGTATAGGTTCTCCTGCTTGAGCAGGGGGCTGGACTAGAAGACCTCCAAGGTCCCTTCCAGCTCTATTCTATTCTAAATCACAGGATTTGATAGTATTGTGAGAAGTGATCCCGGCGTTTGAAAAATGTGATATACAGAAGCCACAGTTGATGTTTCATGTTTTATTCAAACGAATTATGGGTGGTGGGGGGAACAGGCATCTGTAGAGGGAGGTCAAAAAAATTAAGATGGAGGCTGTGACTATCCAAAGGAGACTGGCAATTTTAGATGTGATGCACATTCAAAAGAGTTGGGCCTTTGACTACACAGTGGCAGCCATCTTGATGTTTTTTACCTTCTACTGGGAACTTTTTTTTAAATTGTTCTTTCTTTTTTTGTCTATGTTTTTGTGTGCATATATATATTACGTTTACACTTTTAAATTTTTTTACTGGCCCAACTGAATTTTTTTCTAAGATTTAGAAATGGAAGTGCTTGTTTGAGCAAATGTTTCTTCACCATTTGAGACATGAAACAAAAAAGATAAATTCATTTCTGCTTGGGAGTCAGAAGTAACCATTCTCCCCAACTGTAATTATTTTATTATTTCTATCGTATCACTGCATACTGATTTAGCAAAGATATAAAAAAGCTCTGCTGTACCTGCTTTTGCCTGAAAATATATTGATATACAAAAATAATGTGTGTAGGAATGTAAATAAACGTGTGGGGAAATTAAGTAAGTACAATTTTCCCTGTTAAAGAAAATCAAGATTCCTTGCTTTATTTAATACACTTTTATAAGTAAGTATTCATTCTCCAGTCCTCTCAAGCAATTTGAAATTCAATATAGACTTTAATATCCAACAAATGTAGCATGAAATGGCAGTAGAGATTTCTTTGAACGATTCCTAATCATAACTGCAGCTTAAATCAGTAGAAATTTGTATCCATAAAATCTATTAAATCCAGCAGTCCGCCCCAGGGCTACAATTAACTCTGCACCAAAAGGTGTAGACTTTGTCATTATTTTTAACCATGGAAATCAAGAAACCTAATCTAATGCCACTTTCATACCAATAGTAATTTTTAACCCTAAAACTAGCTTTGGAGACAATCACGCCTAACACAACCTTAGGATCACTTAAAACTTCCCAAAGGATTAAGCCACTGATCTGACCTAAGAACTCACTGAAACATAACCCTAACTCCAAACTGATTTCAGTGCAATTTTTAAAAGTTTCCTTAAAAAATAGTCCTTCCACACAAAACTTAAAAACCATATATTAGGCTCAGGAACCTCACCAAGTATATGGCATCGTACATGTACTGGAACTAAGGGGAAAATATGATTTTTCCCCCACAAAAAATAAATTACTATATTAATAGTCTAGGGCAGCGGTTCTCAACCTATGGGTCGCAACCCCATTTGGGGTCAATCGACCATTTCACGGGGGTTGCCAAGCAAGGCTGTCCGCCATTTTTTTCCCCTTTTCCAGCGGGTTCCTTACCTCCCTTGGGCTGGGCCAGCTGGTGGTCGGCCTGCTCCCTCTCTGCCGCTTGCCAGCTACGCCTCGGCCGGCGCAGAGGGCGGAACCACGCATGCGCGGCGCTCCCGGGCAGGGAAAGTCCTCGACTTACGACCGGTTGGGTAGTCCTTGACTTACAACCGGTTTAGTCCTCGACTTACGACCGGTTTGGGGGTCGCGGCATTAAAAAGGTTGAGAACCACTGGTCTAGGGCAGGCAACCTTGGCTCTTTTATGACTTGTGGACTTCAACTCCCAGAATTCCTGAGCCAGCATGGCTCAGCTTGGAAACCTCTCCCTTTCCCCTCAGCATGGCTGGCTCAGGAATTCTGGGAGTTGAAGTCCACGAGTCATAAAAGAGCCAAGGTTGCCTACCCCTGGTCTAGGGTAGTGATAAAGTACCAAAGATCATATGTGTTAACAAATACCAGAACATTCCAGTTCTATAAAATTAACAAAAATGTAAAAAACTAAATGATCCCCGTCTTAAGAAAACATCAGATTCAAAAAAACTGTCCCCATTTTACAGTCACATTCAAGGCTAAGATTTATCAATATTACAATCTACTGACCTTACCCAAAACCCATCTGTTTGCATGCCAAGAGGCTTAAATTTTCTTCCCAGTCATCAGCGCATACATAATAATTGGTAGCTGACCTATATACAGTCAGGAACATCAAGGAGCTGCTGTTTTTATATAGGGACACTGTGTAAAGAAAAAGAAAGGGAAGTTTAACTTTAGTACTTCCAGGTAGAAGACAATTTAATTGATTTCTCATGACAGGGAAGATCTGCAAATTAATATGCGATCACCAACAAATACTGTGGGTGAATACCTATAATTTGATCGTGCAATAATACAGCTTAATATGCCAACTGCAAACACATAATCAAACTACAAGTAGCCCTTGGCTTACAATCATTCGTTTGAACGTTTGAAGTTACAATGGCACTGGGGAAAAAAGATTTATGACTTGTCCTCACAGTGACAGCCGTAACAGCATCCCCACGGTCCTGTGATCAGAATTCAGACATGTGGCAACCAGCAAATATTTACAATGGTCTCATTATCCTGGGATCATTTGCAGCCTTCCCATCCAGCTTCCGACAACAATGGTCAAAGGGGAGAAGCACCATATGCACATAGTCATTTTAGCATCACTGTGGTTTCCTGCAAGACTGCTGTCAAAGAACTTTATTCTTTTAGTGGGGTATGTATTAAAGCCTTTCTGAACATATGTGTCGGGAGGGAAACATACATATGTCCTTCTGTTTACTAATCTGTCCATCTAAATACGCAAGTACTTTGGCCACCTAATGAGAAGGAAGGACTCACTGGAGAAGAGCCTAACGCTGGGAAAGATTGAGGGCAATAGAAGACAGAGAATGAGGTGGCTGGATGGAGTCACTGAAGCAGTAGGCGTGAGCTTAAATGGACTCCAGAACATGGTAGAGGACAGGAAGGCCTGGAGGAACGTTGTCCGTGGGGTTGCGATGGGTCGGACACGACTTCGCAACTAACAAAAAATACACATCATTTTATAGTCATGAAACATTCATACAAGGAGAGCAATAGTTGTCCGCATCCGTAATATTCCTTAATCTACACAGTGCTAAACAGGAGACAGTGATGAGATGCAGCCATACTGCCTCTTGGACCCTCACAGCCATGACAAACAGAAGCGTGTAACATTAAATAGCCCTTTGGGGAACTCAGCATTACACACATGGGACTCTTTTCTGTCAAAAATTTAAATTTTATCCACTCTTAGCAGGAAAGTCTGGTTTCTGGTCCTTTAGAACTGCATGAAGAAACTCGAGGCAATTCCCTGGATATAGCCGAACTGGACATCCAGTTATGAGGCCTTTGCTGTACTCCTGTAGAGGTTTTGTACGCAGTTACGTGGATTGGGCGCATCTGTTTACCTCTCTTCCGTCATGTTCTCATGATATACTAAATAAATAAATAAAATTCATACAATGTTTTCCTAAAGCAGAGATGGCCAAATTTCTTAGGTTAGAGGCCAGGCCTTTATTCCAGTTACATCTGCACATTATTTTCTGGGAATGGTATGTCTTCCCGGGCAAATCCCATTTCCACATCTATCCTATCAAAAAGGAAAAAAAAACATCTTTCCCCCAAACTGTGCCAACAAAATGTGACAAGTGGCCTGGATTTTGGCAGTGAAATTTCAGATACTTTAGAAGTGCTTCCAGGACGGATTCCATAGAATTGATTGGTCTAATTTTATTCCCATCTGTTCTGAAAGAACAAATAATATGCCATTAACATTTTGAATTTTGGAGGCAAAATCCCAGGACACCGACATAAATGAACTCTTATGAGGCTACTCATCCTAGGGTCCTGTTTGCCAATTTTAACTTGCTTTTTATTAAAGCAGAAAGAAACAATGGCCAACCAACCAGACTTACAATCTTTGGTTGTCAGCGTTAGTCATATACATATACTTTAAATGTGGCTGATCTGTTTCCCATAGGTTTGTTTTTCCTCAGCAGTCCTCACATTAGCATCTCCATTATAGAGGGCAAGTCTTAAAACTTACCACAGCTCCATTCATCGGATTTGTCGGCACAATCTGCTCGCCCATCACACCACGACTTACGGGGTACGCAGTCATGGTTTGCACATGCAATTTCATCCTTCTTGCAAAATGCTGCCATGAAAAATGTAAATTGGGAGAAAACAATCTTTAGAAGCGTAAACAGAGGTCCCCAATCTTTTTGGCACCAGGGACCGGTTTCACGGAAGACCATTTTTCTACGGACCAGGAGGTGGGGGATGGTTTCGATTTTGCTTGTTCGCTTGCCCACTGCTCACCTCCAGCTGTGTGACCCAATTCCTAACAGGCTATGGACCGGGACCGGTCTGCGGCCCAGGGATTGGAGACTCCTGCTCTAGAAAATGCTAAACCTTTACTGAATTGGGAATAGAGTTGTGATTGTGTACAATCGTAACATATTAGGACTGCTGATACCAGGAATGTTGATTGAGTTTACAGAAATATTACAGAATTAAGAAGTTCCAGTCTTTCAGAGACTTTTATTCCTGGTTATGCAAAGCAACGTCTTTCACAGCCAGCTTCATTAGCTACTTAATGCAATTTTAATCACGAATTGTCAACATTCGAGAGAGTCAGAAATGAAAAATAACATTTCATTACTGCATAAACAAATGAAACATTTCAGGAAAAAAGTCATGAAAACCCCTGAATATTCCAACCCTTGAAGCCTTTGTCTAGTGCAGGGATAGGCAATGGTGGGTCTTTTATGACTCGTGGACTTCAACTCCCAGAATTCCTGAGCCAGCATGGGGAAAACTTTGGCCCCTTCATGACTCGTGGACTTCAACTCCCAGAATTCCTGAGCCAGCATGGCTCAGCTTGGAAACCTCTCCCTTTCTCCTCAGCATAGCTGGCTCAGGAATTCTGGGAGCTGAAGTCCACGGGTCATAAAAGAGCCAAGGTTGCCTACCCCTGGTCTAGTGAAACCTCCACAGAACCAAATTCTCTTAAGAGTTCTAATAAACAAAGGTTCTTTAGTCACTGTTTCTTTTGAATGTGCAAAGTGCTTCTAGGGAGCCACACACTGTGACCATGGATAAAATCAGCACCCAACAGTGTGTTGATTGCCTTCTAAGCTTTGTCAAGGAATTAATTAAATGAAGCACAATAAACGCAAATATATGAACTAATAAGACTTGGAATGAAATATATAACTAAAGGGAAGAAACAAAAAATTGAACCTAAAATAAAACAGAAAATAGAAATTCAGAAGACTTTCTTCCAAAATAAACCACAAGAAATGTCAATTCTAAATCTTGCCGAAATGTTTGCATGTATCTCCATGCCTTTCCTACTTCTCACTCTTGCTCAAAAAGTTCAGCTGTAAAAATCTGAATAATGCATTTTAGCCAGATATAAAATAGGTAAAAGCATAATTTATTTTGCTCTCTTCGTTCTGTGGCCATTGAATAAGCAAAGCACGCGAAGTTCATAAAGAATGACAAGAACAGAAAGCTTATCAAAAGTCATTGATATTCAGACAAAAGCATAAGACGAAAGGGAATCTCAGGACAAACGAAAAAGGGAAGGAGACAGATGGCAAAAATGAGAGAAAAGGGGCAAAGTAAAAGCATAGTTATTTAAAAAATTAAGCTAGAAATTAATAAAGTCAAAGACAGAAGACTGCTTAGCATCAAAGGGGAAATGAAATNCGCCCTTCTCCTTACCGGACTCAGGGCGGCTGACAGCCTTATAAAACCAATATTACAGTAAATACCAATTTAAAACCAGATTAAAAGGAAATATTTGCAATGGCCTAATAATTAAAATTTCCCTTAAAAACCCCACTAAAATTCCCTAGGCCAATCCCGCTTGTTGGAAAAGCCATGTCTTTAGGGCGCGGCGGAAGGAAGGAACTAGTGTAGCAGCTACTAAAATAGAAATGCAGGAATACACACATTGTGGAACTTTTGACTTTGTTGACTTAAAATGTGTTTTTGATTTGACATCCAAAGATGGGATACAGAGGACACTGGAGCAAACCTTCACAGATATACAGATGTTGTTGCCTGTTCCATAGTTATGTTAACTTCTGGCTGAAAGTTCTAGAACAGTGATGGCGAACCTTTTAGAGACCGAGTGCCCAAAACCTGCCCCCCCACCCCCATTCCGCCCTGCCACTGGATCACCCACCACCTCCACGGCCTGCCACAGATCACCCAGGCAGCCCAGCGCCATGGCGGCCATGCCCTCCACCCATGCCCTGCAGCATCATCTGTGCGCGAAGGGGCGCAAGGGTCGAGTTTTGTCCCCGGCTACCATGTCCTTGGCTGCGCTGCTTCGTGTGGGCCGCGCCCAGGGGCGACTCTCCTCTGGGGGGGGCTGCTGGTAAGGAGGGGGCCATGGGAGGAGGCGGGGCTGGGGAGACGGTGCATGTGCCCACAGAGAGGGCTCTGAGTGCCGCCTCTGGCACCCGTGTCATAGGTTTGCCACCACTGTTCTAGAACCAAGTGTATCAAGTAATTCCTTCCCAGAAACAAGGCAGAGATGCATTCTAGCTCTTCCTTATATTAGTCAAGCCTCTCTGATTCAATCTTTATCTTCCAACTTTGTAGACCACAACCCATTGTGTTTGGCTGGTCAGTTTGGATAGATGTTCAGGTGAAAGGACATTATCACTTTTAATACCTTGAGAAACAATCTTGAAAATACAAAAAAGGACTTGTTTAGACAAAGGTATTTATTTATGGTATTTATAATATTTTTTTAAAAATCATTGGTTTGCTTCATTTTAATGTTGGTATGGAATTAGATCCAGACAAATTATATTTAGAACAAAACCCGTGAAATCAGTAAGATTGAAAATAAAAGTGACTAAATTCAGATCCAAACTATAACAGATATTAAACTGCAACAACACATAAATGTATTGTCTGAAAGCTTAAAATTAAGCCCGTATCTACAACATATAATCAATTCACATTTCAGATTCTGACAACCAAAATAATTTTTGTGTTGTTCCCCATTTCCACCCCCCAATAATTGCCACGGATTCCTTGGGTGACCTCTAGGCATAATCTAACAAACACTTTTCAATCATATTAATGGGAAAATTCTGTACTAATTTTTTCTGTTAAAATAGATAGGATCTGATTCTGTGCTAATAAACCTTTCGAAATCAGAATGTTAAAGGAAAAAGGAAGTATAGATTTATTTAAAAAACTTAGGCAATAGGTAAGATTGGATGCATTAAAATGGTGAAATGTCAGTAGACAGTGATATCCTAAGACCATTGTTCAATAAACATACGCTGTCTCCGCCATTTGTTTCTAATCAGTCAAACTGGTCTTATAATAAATTCAGTATGAACTTTTGCACAGCTATGTCAGTCATCTGATATTAAATTCTTATTTCGTTACGTGAAGGCTCAGAGCAGATCTATGAAATATTTATATTTTGTCAGATTGCATGGGTTTTTTTTCTTAAAGAAGCTCATTTCAGCATTCAGATGAAAGAATGACCTGTGTTAAGCAGGTCATTCCTAAGTTTTTAAAAAGCATTTTAATAATATCCTTTGATTTCACTTTGCCATAGACTTCCACAGGAGTTAAAACCTTAAAAACAGATTCATTCAAAAGTAGAGTTTCATTTTTAAGTGATTTCTAGAGCATCAAAAAGTCTGAATTTCACAAACATTTGGTTCCGGGTGGAATATATGAAGGTAAATATCATAATTTCTCCACAAAAAATAGCAACTAATGCAGGAGTCCCCAACTCCCAGTCGGTGGAACAGCACCGGTCCACGGCATGCCAGAAACTGGTCCACACAAACAAGCAAAGCCCCATCAGCGGGATGCAGGCAAAACCTCTCTCCATGGAACCGGTCCCTGGTCCCCATAAATTGATAGCTGCTGATATAATCCATTCCTTCAAAAAAATATATCACCAAATAGCACAAGGGAGGGTACCTCGAAGAACCTTTTGTATTATGTTATTTTCCCAAGATGTCAATACTGTTGGAGATGCCACCGGGTCTTTCCACATCTGACCATTAGGACCAATGGTGAGAAACAAGAGGATTGGTAGACAAAGAAATGTCCTATCATTCACCCACTCTTGTGCTTCCCTGCCTTCGACACAAAAATAAGGACTTTCTATCCTCACATATTTCTTCCAAAATCTAGCTTTTACTTCCAATGCAATGAGCAACTATTGGCTTTGCTGACAGTGGGGTGGCCCATAGATAGCACTAGTACTTAGACTTAGATACCGCTTCACAGTGCTTTACATCCCTCTCTAAGCGGTTTACAGAGTCAGCCTCTTGCCCCCAACAATCTGGGTCCTCATTTTACGGACCTCGGAAGGCTGGAAGGCTGAGTCAACCTTGAGACGGTCAGGATCGAACTGACCTGCATTCTAACCACTGTGTCACCACAGCTCTTAGTTGTATCATGGATCTTTTTATCCAGTGAGATATTCTGCTATTTTGTTATTCACTACAGGTAGTCCTCAACGTACGACCACAATTGAGCCCAAAATTTGTGTTGTTGAGTGAGGAATTTGTCAAGCGAGTTTTGCCCCATTTTACGATTTTTCTTGCCATACTTATTAAGTGAATCACTGCAGTTGTTAAATTAGTAACAACTCAGTGAATCTGGCTTCCCCATTGACTTGACTTGTCAGAAGGTTGCAAAATACAGTATGTACACATGACCCCGGGACACTGCAACCAGTCATAAATGTGAGTCAGTTGTGAAGCATCCAAATGTAAATCACATGACCATGGGGATGCTGCAATGGTCGTAAGTGTGGAAAATGGTTGTAAGTCACTTTTTTTCATACCGTTATAACTTGGAAGTGAACTGTTTTAAGTCAAGGACTATCTATATTCTTTTAGCACCCTCTTTATGTTTACGAACTTAGGCACTTATCTTCTATCAAGGACTCTTGCAAATGTCAATGTGGTATCTGCCAGGAGAAAATTGGTTTCAGTGTTAGGATTTAATGTCAAGGTTGATGATAATTAGAAAGCACACCACATAATAAAAAGATTGGTGTCGAATATAAAACATGCTGTACGTGGCAGTATGCGTCAACAAGCTGACTTAAGGGCTTCAAGTTTTTAATCATCAGAGAGCAGGGAGAGAAATGTGAGCTTCGGATATTATTTTAATCCTGAATGGAGAATGCAACATGGAAGATTTAGTTAAGACATTATGGGTGGTTGCAACCTTCCTACGTTTACACTAACTTCCATTATGGGATCCTTCAGAAGTCAAAAACTGAGAGATTAAAACAACTGAGGAACTGGCCTAGCTCATATCACTGCAAAATCTGGAAAGAAAAAGTTGGGGAGACTTGTAAATATTTGTTCCACCTTAACTTGATCTCCAATTCTTTGGCAAAAATGTGGTACAGCAATAGCTGAATTATCCCAGAAGATGCTAGAAATCCTCTTTTTGAGAACTGGCCAGAGGAAAAGTACAGAAAGAGTACAGAGAAGAGCAACAAAGATGATTAGGGGACTGGAGGTTAACGCATATAAGGAACGGCTGCTGGAATTGGGTATGTCTAGTTTAACGAAGAGAAGGACGAGGGGGGACATGATAGCAGTGTTCCAATATCTCAGGGGCTGCCACAAAGAAGAGGGAGTCAAGCTATTTTCCAAGGCGCCTGAGGGCAGGATAAGAAGCAACGGGTGGAAACTAATCAAGGAGAGAAGCAACCTAGAACTAAGGAGAAACTTCCTGACAGTTAGAACAATTAACCAGTGGAACAACCTGCCTCCAGAAGCGGTGAATGCTCCAACACTGGAGGTTTTCAAGAAGAAACTGGACAGACATTTGTCCGAAATGGTATAGGGTTTCCTGCCTGAGCAGGGGGTTGGGCTAGATGACCTCGAAGGTCCCTTCCAACTTTATTTTTAAAAAAATATTAATTGCTGTGCACAGAATGGGCCCTTTCTGTTTCCTAAATGTACTAAAGCTGAAACTTCTTGCAAAAAATATAATTGTATCTTATTTGATAAGCTGGAAGCGACTCTGGGCAGAATACAACAATTAATAAAAACCATATATATATATATTAATTATAAAAATTGAAAATGATTAAAAAGGAAGATACTGTTAAAAATTTTAAAATCTACAAAACACACACAGCCAAGGCAGAAGAACAGTGAACTAAACTTTCAAATTTATAAAAAAACCCTATTATAACAAGGATAAATACAGATAGTCCTCGACTTACAACAGTTCATTTAGTGTCCGTTCAAAGTTACAATGGCACTGAAAAAAGTGACCTATGGCCGTTTTTCAGTTATGACTTTTGCAGCATCCCCTTAATCACGTGATTGTCAGACCTGCCCCAGCTGGTCCCTCAGGAAAGCAAGATCCTTGAATCCATTGAGTTGAATCAAAAGAGCTTTTACTGAGAGAAACTGGATGCAGTAAAGTCCGGCGGAATCTGAAGGTCCCACGCAAAGCAATTCTTTCGGTTTCCTAATCCCAACTCCCCTGATCAGCCCACCGGCAGCCAATGTGATGCCGAGAAGATGTTTTGAGAATGCTGAGGTGCTAGGCAGATAACAGTTCACACTCAGGGTGCGATGGCCTTGGAACCTGGCGAAAACCAGCCGGGAAGAAATCCGTCCCGTCTCCGAAGACAGTCCCCCTCCCTAATTCCCAAGCGAACAGCAGGAGCGGAAAACCCCCAAGCATGCCATTCCCTCCTCAGCACGATGGCAGGACACCAGAGAACGAATGGTGGACCTGACAGTGATCAAAATTCAGATGCTTGGCAACTGGTTCACATTTATGACCTTTGCTGTGTCCCAAGGTCATGTGATCACCCTTTGTGACCTTCTGCCAAGCAAAGTCAATGGGGAAACCAGATTCATTTACCAACCGGGCTGCTAACTTATCAACTGAAGTGATTCACTAAACCACTGTGGTAAGGTCGTAAAATGGGCAAAACTCACTTAACAGAGGTCTCACTTAACAACAGAAATTTGAGGCTCCGTTGTAGTCGTAAATTGAGGACTACCTGTACTGCATCATCATCATCATCATAGATGGTTCTAATCCACAACTGCTTTGTGGTAAGTCTTGCTTCATTCATTTACCACAGTTCTCTTCATCACTGTCGTCTTCACAATCTGCTTGTCCATCACATCTTCTGGACGTCAAGATGCATCTTCCCGAACGACATTTGAAGTGATTTGGTGAGCACTCTGCCAGGAAAAATACAAAAAGCAATCATTTAATACTCACTGCTGTGCTGAAGGGTTTATGCAAGCTATAAGAGAAAAAAAGAGAGAAAGCAGCATCCTTCAGATCATTCTGAAATGTCAGAAAACTCCTCCCAGTAACTTGAATTCTGAGACTTATCCATCTGGCCACTCTCAGTGTATATAACCATTTATTACTTTATTAATTAAAAAAAGCACTTTGCTTTTCCTGCTCTAGAGATGGTGATGTAAGTGTTAAGAATAAAACTTTGGCAGCTACGTGCCTCTTTGTTTCAACTTACCATTAGAGTAAGGATTGGTTAAGATTTGGTTAAGATGGAGAAATGAAACCTCTATGATTCCGCTGAAGACCGTGTGACAGCCTGAAACCTTTCCAAGGACACTGTAGCAGGTGTGGAGAGGAAGCAGACGGTTCCCATAATAAAGTGAAATTGTTTACATGGACTACGTTAGACGGTGAGGGTTGGGTCGGAGATATTATTGTTTAATTCTATGAACTGGTCTCTGGGAACCTCAGAGTTAGTTTTGCTTCGACATTACCATGCCGTGTATTCAATAAACAGTATGATTTTCAGAAACGGAATGAACCTGGACTTTTATTGGGCTCCTCAACCTGGATGTTGACAGTAAGCTTTGGTGATATTACTAGAAGGAGCAACATCTTAGTAGGACATTCTACTAGCTTCTGCTGCAATCTCTACGTTTTTCAAATGGAGTTTTCTTTACAGCTTAGGTCTGGAATGTTTAACTATCTAAAGTACAGGGTGCAACCTGTAAAACAGCACAAAGATAGTCTCAGGATAGCTAAAAATCAGAACATATAATAACCCACAAAAAAAACCTCAGAAATAAGCTCATTATAAGATGTTCGACATTAAACATTGAATCTTAAAGTTGAAAGCTACATTACTGTAAGAATCAAAGAAAACAATTATTTTGCACCCTCCCAGATATCTTTCTTAATTAAAGGGTTGCATTGTTTAATTTTAATACAAACTTAGTGGAGTTAGAACTATAAAAAATTCTATAAGCAGAGATATTCTTTTTTTCTGATTCTAAAAAAAACAGCTTGAGAACTTGTGAGTTGTGTTTCCTTAAAGGTTTTTATTGTATGTGAGACTGGGAGAAATTGGTAGACTGCATCCATTTAGGACAATGAAATAACAAATGAATGAGGACAATCCCAGTTAGCTGGCCTAGTTCTACATATAATTATGTTCATTTATTTCTTGGCATTGCTGCCTTAAAGGTTAAATGGCACAAATATGGGGCTTCAGTAAGAGATTTGGGGTGCCATTTAGCAAAATAAAGTAAAAGATGAATCATGCAATTCAGACCCAACTCAACTTTAGAAGAACAAATAAACCATAACACTCTAGTATAACTTCATTTTATTGCACTGAGACTTTCGGTGTGTGAAGAGAGAAACTAACTTGCTCATAAATTATCATGGTAATCATTATGCTTAATGACATTAGTACATTTCACACTATTTTTCTTCTTTAACAAATGGATAAGCATTATTTGAATGTATTAAACCTACGTCCACCAGTTACTTTCTCATGTAGGGTAATTACCACAATTACCACAGTTGCATTTTCTAATTAAGTAAACTTCATTTTATTCTCTTATTTTATATAGTATCTGACTGGAGAGAGAAAAATTTAAGCACCAGGTAATCATTGCTCTCCTACAAGATGGAAATATTTATTACTGATTAAGTTAATCAAGGAGAGAAGCAACCTAGAACTAAGGAGAAACTTCCTAACAGTGAGAACAATGAACCAGTGGAACAGCTTGCCTTCAGAAGTTGTGGATGCTCCATCATTGGAGGTTTTTAACAAGAGACTGGACAGCCACTTATCTGAAATGCTATGGGGGTCTCCTGCTTGAGCAGGAGGTTGGACTAGAAGACCTCCAAGGTCCCTTTCAACTTTGCTATTCTGTTAAAAGTTGAGAAATACAAATAACCTTCTACATTGTCATCAGGCATCAGGCAAGTTCGATTGTCCGAATTTTCTTCCGGGAACTGAGCACAATCAGTATCCTCCGGCCACTGTAAACCCACAATTCCAAGAACAGATTCACAACGTTCCTTGGACTGCTTACAAAGAGTCCTGAGAAGATCAAGAGGAATGAAGGGAGGGGGAGAGAGGGAAAGAAAGAGAGTGGGAAATAGGTTAAAAAAAAACCTTACATAACCACAAATATTCACATACACATAAAGCAAATCCCACTGAAACCAGACAATTTAGACGTCATATGGTAGAAAACTATGTATTAACATACACAGTGGGTGCATATTATGATACAGGCAGTCCTCGGCTTACAAAGGAAATTGGGACCAAAATTGCCATTGTCAAGCAATGCGGTCATAAAAGCGTGACATCACGTGACTGCATTGTTTAGTAACAGAACTTCTAGCAGTCCCGTTTCCCTTGGTTAAGAGAGGACCACATGGGTTGTTAAGCATGGGCCAAACGTTGCCACAACTTCTAATTTTGTGCCAGCTTCTCCACTGACTATTTGTTGAAAGCCAGCAGGGAATGCCAGAAATTGTGATCACTTGACCACAGATCACTGCAACATCTTAATGGCGAGCCGGGTGCCAACCATCTGGATCAGAACCACGTGACCGGAAGTTGCAACAAATTGTGGGATCAACTAGTTCTATAAGCAGAGATATTCTTTTTTTCTGATTCTAAAAAAAACAGCTGGAGAACTTGTGAGTTGTGTTTCCTTAAAGGTTTTTATTGTATGTGAGACTGGGAGAAATTGGTAGACTGCATCCATGTAGGACAATGAAATAAATGAATGAGGACAATCCCAGTTAGCTGGCCTAGTTCTACATATAATTATGTTCATTCATTTATTTCTTGGCATTGCTGCCTTAAAGGTTAAATGGCACAAATATGGGGCTTCAGTAAGAGATTTGGGGCGCCATTTAGCAAAATAAAGTAAAAGATGAATCATGCAATTCAGACCCAACTGACCGGAAGTTGCAGCAAATTGCGGGATCAACTAGTTCTAATAGTTGTGTTTTGTTTTGTTTATTTCAGAGCGAAAATAACATAGCGTGTTACCTGCATGGTGGGATACGTTCATTTGTTTGAAAATCACATTTTGGCACCAAGATGGTACAGGCAAAAAACATCAGGTATTTATAACAGTTAGTCTGGACCAAGGCTGGGAAGAGAGAAGACTCCCAACTAATAGAGGCTTCCTTCTGTGTCCGATGGCCTAAATAGTTGGGGTAGTGAGTATAATTGTATGGTAGGTTCAGGCACAATTCCAGGGTAATGTGTTCACACTGACCTGGGCAAAATAAAACAGAAATTGATTTAATAATGCAAAAACAATTACTCTAGACCTGTGGTTGCGAACCTGTAGCACGCAGAGCCCTCTCTGTGGGCACGCGTGCCATCGCCCCAGTCCTAGGCCTTCAGCTGGGTTTTATAAAACCCTTTCGCTTTAGGCCTCCGCCGCCATGTGCAAAAAAAAAAGGTTCAATCAATCAATTTCAACTTCTTGTGGGGGAAAAAAAAGTCTCGCAAATATGGAATTGATTGATTGAACTTTTTAGTCCCACCCAGTCTGCCGTTACCACCAAAGTCCACGCCCACCCAATGGGCCAAGCCCACCCACTTGGCCACAGCCATGCCCACCCGGCACCCTACGATACATAAGTGGGTTTTGGGTTGCAGTTTGGGCACTTGGTCTCTAAAAGGTTTGCCATCACTGCTCTAGACTTATATGATAGTTACAAGAGTCATAGTTTATACAAGAAATCTTACAAAAATGAAACCTGCCTAGAAATTATTTTCTCTTTGATGCAATGAATTTTCCTACACCCCACCCTATATACATAAGGACCATCACTAGAGAAACTACAAAGTAAGAAAAATGGATACATATATTGAATTCTAGTGTGTGTTAACTTCAGTTTCTTGCTTGAACCAGATAGTTTAAATTAACAAGGGTGCAGATTCAGAGAGCATCTGACCGTTCATTCTTCCATAATGTATTTTGAGAAACTATGAAACAAGGAAAGCCCAGTTGGAAGAAAGGACAGGAAGCACATGAAAATAAAAACTTGGAAAGGATACACACAAACAATGTGTCTTTTTTACATGCAGTAACATGTGACACTTTGTTTTTTTGGGTCTGATCGAATCAAAACGTTTTTGTTTACATGATACATGACAATTGATCCTCACAAATAACTAAACGTATTTTTTTTGAAGTGCGCCATTGTCAGTAATAAAAACACAAAGGCTACTAGAAAAAGTGTACAGAAAAGGCAACAATTCAAAAAGCAATACTTTGTGATGGAACTTGCTGATATGGCTAAATTTGATTTTTTTGATCAGAGAAAAGACAATATCTATGTTTATTGCTCCGACTTTTGGAAAATCTCTAAAAAAAAATGCACTTTGTCTTTTGTTACTTGAATACCAAATACCAAGACTATTAATCTCTCCTCTCTAATATCCTTCTTCTCTGAATACTATATTGGCACCTAATTCTCTATTTAAATATCAACGTACATTAATATTTACGACATTTCTTCTTACTTTTGACGAAGAAAGAAAAAAAATCTTTTCTGTTTTTTCCTTCTTTTAGCTTTTTTGATTTCTTTCGTTTCCTTTTCTTTTTTTGTAATTTATATTAGTTTGTATTAGTTTTTAATTTTCCTTTTTAAAAAAAAATCTTTTATAAAATCAGAAAGCAATGTGCTACTTACTGCAATCCACTTGGCTGCTATTCGTGTCACAGAGAGGAGACTGGCTACAAGAATCAGGACAGGAAGTTGAATTACATTTCTGACCTCTTGCATGGCATAATCTTTGGCCTAGAACAACAACAACAAAAAAGACCAAAATCTTATCTCTATCGGTGAATTATATAATAAGAACACAATAGCCATCTGTCTTCCAAAATTCTGTTCATTGTCACAAGCTATAGTCTTTAAGAAGGAAAAATTCTATGCCTTTTCTCATTTCCTGGCTATGATTACTTCTAATTGGTTGTTATAGATCAGGGGTGTCAAACTCAATTTCATTGAGGGCCGCATCAGCATTGCGGTTGCCCTCGGGGGACCGGGCGGGTGTGGCGAGGGTGGGTGCGGCCTACTGGGTGGGCGTGGATGGAGTGGGTGTGGGCTACTGGGTGGGCATGGCCAGCTCTACATCATTCGCGTCAAGGGGGCCTGTGGGGGCCTGGGCAGGAGTGGGACAGATCTGAGGGTCTCTGTCAGAAGGGGGTGGGACCAGGGCAAGCGCCAAGGCATGGTCCATTTCTTCATTCCTCACAAAGGGTGACACCTCCCCAGCATGCACCCAGGGGGCGGAGCCAATGCGACAGGGGCTGGTTCCTCGCTGTTTCTAGAAGGCCTTGTGGAGCTAAGACTGAATGCGTTTCAGCATAGATGGCCACCACAAAATTGCACATTGGCTCCCGGGCCTGGGCCAGGGCCAAGGCAGCGGGGGCCGTTCCCTCACTGTTTCCAGGATGGCTTCGCGGGCCACATGAAACCACTTCGCGGGTCGCATCCGGCCCCCGGGCCTTGTGTTTGACACATGTCTGCAAACAAAAAACATATACTAGATATTCCTTTTGTAAACTTTATTCTTCTTCTGCAATAACGCAGTTTATCTGGATCCAAGTTACCTGAGGAACCATCTCGCCCCAATGGGATTGGCCCATCCCACCCCAGTAGAAGGGACATGTTCCGGTGGGGTGCAGGAGAAGAGTTTTTTTCTGCCATGGCTTCTACCCTCTGGAACAGTGATGGCAAACCTTTTAGAGACCGAGGGCCCAAATTGTAACCAAAACCCACTTATTTATCTCCGGGAGCCAGGTGGGCGTGGCCCACTGTGTGGGCATGGCTGCGGTGGTCACGGCAGACTGGGTGGGCATGACCGGGGTGAATGTGGCCACCTTGATGTTGCTCATGGTGGGGGCCAGGCAGGGTTGGGGGAGTTCCAGGGGGTCTCTGGTGGGTGGGGCAGCCGGGTGAACCGGTTGTTAAATTATTTGAAACCCACCACTAGTCACTTCCAAAGGCCATGTGCTCGCTCGCTTGGTGCCCACCATCGCTTCCAAAGGCCGCTCACTCACTCTTCTGCCAAAACCTGCTCCTTTTATATGTTCCCTTTTCCCTGCCCAGCTCTTGCAGCTGTTCCCGGACTCTGCGCGTATGGAGAGGGGGAGGGGAGCAGCCCGGGCCCATGTCCCAATGTCTGGGACGATGGCGTGGGTGCCCACAGAGAGGGCTCTGAGTGCCACCTCTGGCACGCGTGCCGTAGGTTCGCCACCACTGCTCTGGAACATTCTGCCCCCCTCAAAGTGAGATCCATCCCATCCTCTTGTTCTTCTGGAAGAGCCTTTAATCCTGGTTCTGCCAATTAGCTTGTGGTCCTGACTGGAGATGGCTAATGGATTAAGAGAAGATTCTATCTCCACTCTATTTTCTATGGAGATTCTCAATCATCCAGTCATGGTTGTCCCAAAGATGCTTTTTCAAAAGGCAACTGGACTTTCTTTTTTTTTCCTTGAAGACGTTTCGCTTCTCATCCAAGAAGCTTCTTCAGTTATTAGTTTTCTTGCAGATGTTTCATTACCCAAACTAGGGAACATCATCAGCACTGATGATGTTGCTTACTTATTTTGGTAATGAAACATCTGCAAGAAAAAAAAACCAGAGAGTGCCAAGGACCCCTCAAGAAACATTGGATGGAACTAGTTTTCTACTCAGCTTGTAATCTACCATCTCTTTGGCTTAATATCTTGGAAGAAAATGTTGATTTTTCCAATGCTAATGTTTTGATGGGATTTCAATCAGCATGCGATGCTAAGGTACAACAGTCTACATCAGAGGTCTTCAAACTTGGCCTTTTTATGACTTGTGGACTTCAACTCCCAGAATTCCTCAGCCAGCTATGCTGGCTAAGGAATTCTGGGAGTTGAAGTCCACAAGTCATAAAAGCGCCAAGTTTGAAGACCCCTAGTCTACATCTTCTACGGGACCCATTAATATCTAGCACAATGCATTAATCAAAGCATACATTCCACTACTGTAGTATTTGCTACTTAGGATGGAAGTTGTCTCTGGATAAAGGGAAATTCTGGATAAGAATTTCACTGTCATGGACAGGAGAATATAGTAGATTTAAATTTGTTCGATGTCTCACTTCTCCAATGTAAGAATCCACTAAATTGGATTATCTTCTGAGCTAAGGCCTAGAACGAGCAATTTTGTTGCTAAATTGAGGCTACATTGAGTAGGGCAGTTGAGTTATTTGCCCCAAAATGTCAACTCTCAGAGTTCTTTTAGGAAAAATATTGTCTTAAATATCAAACAAAAAGAGGTTCCTCTTTTTAATAAGAGCAGATCTTTTATTCCTACCATAACTGTGTTATGCTTTGTCCACAGGAAATGTTTATTCAAGCATCCCGTATAGGAATATGTAAAGTAAACGGTTTACACACAGGTGTTTATTTTGCATAGTAAGATAAAGTAGAACTGAAATCCGATATATTTTCTGAAAAGAGATACTCTTAAGGAGTGACGACTATTTTAAATAAGGTACTATTGGTCTTTATTTAAAAAAACCTTTTCTTTTGTGTCTCTCATAAATAGTAGAGTACTACAACCATGGCAGCAATACAAAGGAGACCTCCTTCAAACATCACAAGGTAAGAAAATGTATTTTTGTACTGCTTCAAAAGAGTTTGAACACTGAAGACAAAATAAGCGCTCTGCAAATATCGTACAGTGAAAAATGTTCCTGTTGTTGTTGTTTCTGCCATCCCATCCCTACACACCCACTTCCAAGAACGCGTAACAAAATGTTCCAGGAAAACATTTGTTAGGTTGGTCTAGATATACTGTATGGATGTGGGAATTGATGGCTGTTGAGTCTTGCAAGTAGACTTTGTTTGTTTTAGCCCAGGGCCCGCATAAATGAGCCTCATCCAAGCATGAAACCAAGAAAGGTGGTACAGCAGTAACTTCTGCAGATAGAACTATACAAATTGCTTACCAGTTCTCTCTGAACAGGGTTTTTTTTTTCTCTGACACATGCTGATGCCCTTTATTCAAGAATAGCATGAGTTACCAATCCTCCTGGGAAATTCACTAGGCAGATATCAAAATTCAGTACAGTATAACTAACTTCAATTTATTTAAGCACTTCATTAAGAGGAAAAGGTAAAACAGGGTTAAGGAGATGTGGAACAAAAGTGCAAATGTGATAAATACATGTTAAGAATGTCTATGGAGATTCACAGTCATTCAGGACATGGTTGTCCCAAAGCTGCTTTTGGGCATATGTGTCCATCAAGCTGAACGTAAATAGTGAAACAGACTGATGAAATATATGATTCTGGACATTTCAATCTTAGTGTATATAATTATACTACTTTATAATGCCTTGGTAAGGCCACACTTAGAATACTGTAGAATACTGTATCCAGTTTTGGTCACCGCGATGTAAAAAAGATGTTGAGATTCTGGAAAGAGTGCAGAGAAAAGCAACAAAGATGATTAGGGGACTGGAGGCTAAAACTTACAAGGAACGGTTGCTGGAATTGGGTATGTCTAGTTTAATGAAGAGAAGGATGAGGGGGTGACATGATAGCAGTCTTCCAGTATCTAAGGGGTTGCCACAAAAAAGAAAGGATCAAGTTATTCTCCAAAGTTGTCCTCCAAAGCAGGACAAGAAGCAACAGATGGAAACTAATCAAGGAGAGAAGCAACCTGGAACTAAGGACAAATTTCCTGACTGTTAGAACAATTAATAGTGGAACAACCTGCCTCCAGAAGTTGTGAATGCTCTAACACTTGAAGTTTTTAAGAAGAAATTGGACAACCACTTGTTTGAAATGGTGTAGAGTTTCCTGCCTGAGCAGGGGGTTGGACTAGAAGACCTCCAAGGTCCATTCTATTCTATTCTATTCTATTCTATTCTATTCTATTCTATTCTATTCTATTCTATTCTATTCTATTCTATTCTTCTGTTCTACTCTACTCTACTCTACTCTACTCTACTCTAATTGGATCAGATATGTTGTGTAGTATTGCTGCCATGGATTCTTTAGCTAGTTTTGGATCTATGGATGTACAGAGTGCTGAGACATTGAATGAAATCATAATGTCATTTTCTGCTTTTAGGTCTTTGATTATAGAGGGGTGTCATAGAATATTGTCTCCCCTCTATGAGCTGTGAGTCATGGGAGCAATACTATACAACATCCCCAACCTAGCCAAATACACATTGGTACTTTGTTCAACACTGGAAGAATACAATCCAGACAACACCTAACTTAGAACTTAAACTTGGAGAATGCACAGCGATGGCAAAACTAAGAGCATATATAGAAAGCAGAAAATTAAATTTAACCAAGAATGTTTCCCATATATACAATATATCAGGCAGCTTGGTAAACCTAACCACCTATTGTCTGGATTTCAAGGGGGCCTAAATGCTAACAAGTACCATAAATCAGCAAATGCATTAAAAGAGGCGAGACAGAAATCAATAGTTTTTCCCCTTCTTTTCTTTCTTTTTGTTAAAATTATTATTACCTTCTTTTGCATTTTGGGCATTTTAACTTTTAAGTACTTTAACTTTTGTTAAACTGCTTTGTCTATTTATTATTTCCTTTTACCAATATATATATACACAGAGACACACACAGCAGAAATACAATGAAGAACTTAATTCAAGACTGAAGTTCAAGACTGAAATTACTGTCGTATAACTAATAATTTGGTGCGATAGTAGTTCTTTCTTTTTTTATCTTATAGTCAACTTTGGATGGGAAGTTAAATATAATTATATAATTGTAATATGACATCCCGAATAGCAATTGATACTGACAGAATATTTACTATTTTCTTTTTTTTAAAAAATTTCAATATTTTAAGCTTTTTAAATTAACAGAAAGTTAATACTTTTAATCGTAGAAACAACAATGCACTGAAAGGTATTGAAATAATATGGTGATATCATAGGATAAAAGAAACAAAGTGGGCAGGGGAGAAATGGCAAGACAGATTTACTCTAAAACAACAACAACACCCCGTATTGACAAGAAGGAACAAATCAAAACAACGGTACGTAGAAAAATAGTGACTCTCCGCAGAAATATTATAAGACTCCAAACCCATATGATGTTCTCACAAGGTATTGTGTTCTGAGTTATAAAGCACCTGAACACTGGGGTATTTATCAAACGAACCATCTCAGCCACCATCCTCAAAAGAACCCATAGAACAAAAGAAATACAATTTTCCAAAGGAAGCTCTCAGATCTTTTCTCCAGAGGTTTAAGCAAGGAATGACACAAGTCTGCCCTTACTTCCACCGCAGTTTTCTTCATCGCTTCCATCCTTGCAATCCTTGTCTCCATCACACTGGAAAGCACTAGGGACACACTGACCATTTCTGCATTCCACCAGTCCTTGGCTATGGCAGGCTGGAAACAAGAAGAGGTTCTGATCACTTGACAGACTTTCCATTTCTTATAAATTACAACGAGTTACTTCATTCATATAGGGCAGGGGGGTAGGCAACCTCGGCTCTTTTATGACTCGTGGACTTCAACTCCCAGAATTCCTGAGCCAGCATAGCCAAGGTTGCCTACCCCCGATATAGGAATATGACAGAAAACCTACAAATACAAAATAGGATTAAAAATAGGATGTTTCTGTTACACTGTTGAAATAATGAGGAAATAAGCAAAGGGCCAGTTTGGTGTAGTGGTTAAGCACCGGGCCAGGAACCAGGTGACTGTGAGTTTCTAGACCTTAAGCATGAAGCCAGCCAGGTGACTTTGAGCCAGTACTGGGAAGGGCCAGCTACTTCCAAAATCTTGCCAAGAAAACTGCAGGGACTTGTTCAGGCAATTTCCAAGAGTCAACACTGATTCAAAGGCATACACACAAACAAAGGACCACCATAGAGCCACAGGTTTGGAAGAGGTCTACATAGTATGTAGTAACGTTATACTACTAAGATAATTTAGCAAATATAAACTTCATACTGAAATGGATACTTTTGGATAATGCTGGATGAGGTACTTCACATACGATTCGCAAGAAAATCTACCAAATATGAAGATACTACACTTAAACACTCTGTTATCAAAGCACAAAGTATCAACTAACTTACAACAATTGACTTCATCTGATTTGTCTAGGCAGTCAGGATCACCGTCACAGATCCAATCCATTGTTATGCATCTCCCATTTCCACACTGATGCTGAGTAACTGGATTACAATCTTTAATAGACAACATTGATAAACACAGACAATATTTCTTCATTACTTAATATATAACTGGCTAGCAGGATATTAACTTAAAAAATGCTCTTCCTTTTTTCTCAGCATTGTAAGTGTAATAATTAAGAACACGTTGCAGCAATGTTGACCAGAATTCAGAGGATTGTTTTAGCTATATCTAATTTTCAGTTTATTTTCCAGACTCAACGTAATATTAAAATGCCTTTGTTACAAAAGCGGTGGTGTACAAAGAAAATCTATACAAAATGTTTTACAGATGGCACTTAACACTGGGGAGGTTAGCAAAAATGTTGAAAAACGTATCTAGCAACTGTTGGAAATGTAGTCAAAAACCCAACTTTGGTGGACATGCCCCAAAGCCAAAAGATTCTGGTCAAGAATACATATATGGTTAGAGAAAATTACTAAAAAACATATAGATTTTAAGCCAGAATTATTTTTGTTAGGCATAACTGTAGGAAACTATGAGAAAGAGTGTATATATCTAATTTTACATGTATTAACTGCAACGAGAATTGTATTCGCTCAACACTGGAAAAATGAAACTTTACCAACGGAAGAAGAGTTAATTAAAAAATGTTTAGATTGTGCAGAAATGGATAGATTGACACTGAAAATAAAAGAGAAAGAAGATTCAGTATATTTTAGAACACGGATACCTTTTATCAATGGCTAGAAAAACGAGGTAGAGAGAAAGGAATGTAACATGTATTAGTAAGTTAAATATTGGAAACCCAGACAATATGTTGCTGATAAAATATTAAGTAAATTATATATAATATTAAAATGCTTGTCCCAACCTCAAAATACCTTATTTTCAAAGTTGCTGAGTTTTCTAATATTATTATTTTTCAAAGTGCTTTGTATTATTTTTAAAAGCATCATTCATGCTTGCTAATCTGGTCTTTGAAAAACAAACTGCTTAATCCCCTACAGTACTGTCTGTACTCGTGCTTGTTTTTTATCCTTTACAAGTAACAGCACCTTGGATCAAAATTGCACCAGGAAATAGTATATATGGAATTGCAAACATAACAGAAAGAAAAAGAGTTTGGGAGACCCAGTTGTAAGTACGGAACTTCTTACTGTAGATTATTTTAAGTGAACTATAAGATATGAAGAACTACAATATAGTTCCCCCTATCAATGTATTTTCCATGTTAGAAGAGGCATCTCTTTTTTGGCAAATGTTTATGGTACAAAGTCTAGCAGGATAAAAGAGGCTGTATCTTTATTTCTTCAGGAAACAATATACTGTATATTATTAAATAGTGGAAGCAGGAAAAGCTGCTTGATCCTGATCCAAATCCTGCTCAACTATGTAAGACATATACTGATTTTTACTTGTTTATTCCTCCATTGCTGAACATTTATAATGTGGATATTCTGAATAAAGTCTTTCCAATTTCCTTTAATGAGGCATATATACATGGTAACTATTCTCCTGATTATGCAAGTTATGGCTGATTTCCAGGTCGAAAGCTGATGCCAAAATGATTACAATCAAGATTACCTTTGTTTATCTATTCTGCTCAATCCAATTTCATAAAAAGGCCACAGGTTTTACATATTAAATTACTAATTGAGTATGTAGATGAACATTCAGAAAAACTGAGATTAACAACGATAATCTTGTTAGTTGTAGTAAAGGCGCTTTGTCTGATCCAATGGAAAATTCTGGAACAAGGAAATTGGAATAAAGATGTTTTTAATTAACTGGACTAAAATATGGTTCCCTTCAAACAGGGTTATTATAAATGAAATTATAACCTGTCAAGATACTTTATGGAAGTCATATATTCTTTATCTCCTCTTCTGCCTAATTTGATATTGGTCTCATTGGCTTGACAAGAAGAAACTGAAGGGAATTCTAAATATAAAAGTCTCCTAGGATTAGTGCATTTTATGATATTTCTTACGGTTGTAGAGTATCTATATAAATTTGTATAGGCCAGGGGTAGGCAACCTTAGCTTTTTTATGACTGGTGGACTTCAACTCCCAGAATTCCTGAGCCAGCCATGCTGAGGGGAAAGGGAGAGGTTTCCAAGCCGAGCCATGCTGGCTCAGGAATTCTGGGAGTTGAAGTCCACGAGTCATAAAAGAGCCATAGGCCTCTCCATTGAGACTTGAATAGTACGCAGAGAACATGAAGAACAAGCTTAAACCTTTTGATCTGTATGATCATATAGTGCTAATTCTTGCTTCTGTGCCAGTTCTTGGCTCCTGTCTGCTCCAGAATTGAATCTGGAAAAAGGGAGCTGCGATTTTTAGAACAAGCATAGCTTTCTGTGGTACTGCGTATCATTTAACAGTGCCCGTATCCCGCTCTTTTGGGATTAAACCACTTCCTCCAAGTTTTTAAAATACGTTTTTCCTTTACCACAGTTCTGTTCGTCACTAAGATCTCCACAATCATCATAACCATCACAAACGAAGGTGTAATTGATGCATCTTCCCGTGTGGCAGCGAAAAAGCTCTTCACTGCAATCTGCAAAACAGAAATATATATATATTTACAAAAACTTTGAAGTAAGAAAGTCCATTTGCCCCAAGCGAAATGTTAACTCATTTCTGCTATTTTACGAAATTATTAGATAACGTTTGAAAGTAACGCTCGTTTCATTCTTTCAACAGCATAACTAACAAGTAAAGTTTGAAACTACAATAAAAAGGAAAAAAGCTTCAACTTCTACTGCTTTTCATAGGGATGCTATATACTTGACGGTTAATTATTGAAGCTAAATACAGGTAGTCCTTGACATCTGACCACAGTGGAGCCCAACATTTCTGTTGCTAGGCGAGACAGCTGTTAAGTCCATTTTGCCTTGTTTTACGACCTTTCTTGCCACAGTTGTTAAGTGAACCGCTGCAGCTGTTAAGTTAGTAACACGGTCATTAAGTGAATCCGACTTCCCCATTGACTTTGCTTGTCAGAAGCTCGCAAAAGGTGACGTCACAAATATGAGTTCTTTGCCAAGCATCCGAATGTAAATCACATGACCGTGCAATGGTCACGTGTGAAAAATGGTCATGGGTCACTTTCTTCAGTGCCACTGTAACTTCGAACGGTCACTAAACCAACTGTTGTAAGTTGAGGACTACCTGTACAACAAAGGTAATGTTAGTACTCCTAGTTTGTGCTTCTCGTCTGGACTACTCTGAAGGGCTGACATCTCTATTCTGGCACTTTAGGTAACTTACTGCAATGTATTTCATCACTCCAGTCATCACAATCATTAAAGCCATTGCACTGCAGAATCCTTGGGACGCAAACCCCACTTCTGCACAAGAAGCTGTCCTCTTCTTCACAAAATACTGAAAAACCAAAAACAAGGGACAGGATAAGAGATTTTCTTAGACTGAAAACCAAAAGTACATCCCAACATTCCTTTAAAAGGGCGTTAGATAACCACAAACTCCCAACTGTTAGCAAAGATAAGGAAGACTACAGAACAAATTGAATATTAACTAATAGAAGTTGCCATCACATCTTCAGTAATGCCCTACTCTGAATATTTCAATCTCTGGGTACATGTGATAGTGGAATAACGAATTGGATGAAGACCAATGGCATTTAACACTGGGCCCTAGCTAACAAAATGAAATTCAATGGAGAAAAAAGTAAGGTTTTACACTTAGGCAAGAAAAACCAAAGGTACAGGTGCAGACTAGGATGACCTATGGCACGTGTGCCAGAGGCGGCACTCAGAGCCCTCTCTGTGGGCACGCATGCCGTTGCCCCACCCTGCCTCCCTGTGGCTCCCTCCCTACCAGCAGCCCCCCTGCCCCCGGGCGCGGCCCACGCAGAGCAGTGCAGCCAAGGATATGGCAACCGGGCAGCAGGGGCAAGACTCTATCCTTTCGCCCCATTGTGTGCAGATGATGCTGCGGGGCGCAGATGGAAGGCGTGGCCACTATGGCACTGCAGGGCCTCCTGGGCGATCTGTTGCGGTGGGCTGTGGAGATGGTAGGTGGCCCTGTGGGTGGGGCAGGGGAGGAGCGGGCAGGGCGGGCAGGAATGGGGTGGAGCGGGTGGGGCAGGGGGCGGGGCGGTTTTTGGGCACTCAATGTCTAAAAGGTTCGCCATCACTGGACTAGGTGAAACCTGGCTCAACGGCAGTGAGAGGGGTCTCGGAGTCTTAGTGGGCAGTCATTTAAATATGAGCCAGCCATGTGCTGTAGCTACCAAAAAAAGTAAATACAATCCCAGGCTGCATTAAGAGAGAGAGAGAGAATCAAGATCACGAAAAGTGATACTACTGCTTTGTAACGCCTTGGTAAGAGCACACTTGGAATACTGCGTCCAGTTTTGATCACTGTATTATAAAAAAAAGACGTTAAGACTCCGGAAAGAGTGCAAAGAAGAGCGACAAAGATGATTGGGGAGCTGGAGGTTAAAACATATGAAGGAACTGGGTATGTCTTAGTCTAGTGAAAAGAAGAACCAGGGGTAACATGATAGCAGTGTTCTAATATTTGAGGGGCTACCATAAAGATGAGGGGGTCAACCTATTTTCCAAAACACCAGAAGGCATAACAAGAAGCAACGGATGGAAACTGAACAAAGAAGGAAGCAACCTAGAACTAAGGCGAAATTTCCTGATAGTGAGAACAATCAACCAATGGAACATCTCAGAAGTTCTGGGTGCTCCAACACTGGAGGCTTTTAAGAAAGGACTGGACAGCCATTTGTCTAAAATTGTATAGGGTCTCTTGCTTGAGCGGGGGGGTTGGACTAGAAGACCTCCAAGGTCCCTTCCAACTCTGTTATTCTGTAATGAATGTCAGTAGGTCATTGATCAATTGGGCAAGTAAAACCTATGTTAGAAGAAGTTTTGTATAAGCTCCACCGGGTAGATCAGAGCAGGATTCAACTCCACAGAAAGGCTAAAACTACTTTTCAGAGTGACTACAAAACCAGAATCTTGCAGGTCTGACTGTGTTTTACCTCCTCCCCATTCTTATACTCATGTGAATTAGGGAGGTGCCTGTCTGAGCTTCTTCCAAGTATTTTCTCTTTTTTGTGTGTGTGTGGACTCAAGTATGTGTTTGTCAGCCTCCCAAGCAGACCAAACAGGAAACGTGACAAGGTAAGCTAAATCTATTTTATTTTAAGGCTACAATAACAGATTCTTGTAAGACTGAAAGAACAAATCTCCCACACACACACACACACACACCTCTTTTTACCATCTGATTAGTTGGGGCTGATTCTTTGTTAAGCTACTTTTTCTGCAATTGTGCTCTCCTCCTGCCCCTTTTATGTGACGTTCCCTGAGTAGCATCTCCCCCCCCCCATTTTTCTCACCTTCCATTACAGTGAATGTATAATGAAATCATCATTACACATTCATTACTCCTCACTTGCTAACAGAATCCATATATTTTCATCAAGAGCATCTTCTTTATACTTTTTTTAGAAAATTCAGACATGCTGTTTCAGAGAGCTCTTGGATCCAACACCGCTACCCAAAAAAAAAGAGATTAATACTGATGGTCAGGGCTATTTTATATCAGTTTCAGCCAATATACTGGTGCCACTGCATCCAATAAGGACGATGGAGAAATAATTGGAGTTATGATGTTTTTTTCAATTGGATGTAGGAGACGACCAGATTGAGCCTGAGGGAGGGGTCAAACATGTCATCAATCACAAGTCCCTGCATGACCGTGAGATCTACAGTACGTCCAGCCCACCTTGAATGCCTTTCTTATTCCCATTCATTTCCCTTGACTGTTAGTAGCTCAGATTCTTGTAGAGAGCTTAAGCTTGCAATAAATCTTTATATTCATTTGAATTGCCCGAATCTCCCAGCACATGACACTGAGATTACTCTAATATAATAGACAATGGTCTAGTTCAGGCAGTCACCAGAAGTCAATACTGACTCGAAGACACTCCCCACAAAAAACTCATACTAGTCTGCTTTTGAAAAGTGCTCAAAATCTTCACTAACCCAAATGAGAGTTACTAAACTAGGCCAATTAATAATATCTACTACAATAATTTTCACCACTACTGAACAAAATGTTGGTGTTGACCCTTAAAAATCTAGTGGGACCAGAAAGCAGATCTTCTCTGACATTGCATCTGTCCTTCCTATTTGGACAGACAAATTCCTTGTAAGTCCAATCACACTTGGCCAATAAAGAATTCTATTCTATTCTATTCTACTCTACTCTACTCTACTCTACTCTACTCTACTCTACTCTACTCTATTCTAGCTTGCTAAGAATGACACTATTTATCTTTCTACAATATCTGTGAGAAGATTAATCCTTTCTTCTCCACTACAGACTTCTGAAATCAAAGCTGCTCACTTATTGTAGTAAAGTGCCATGGAATACTCTTATCTTTACAGATCTGCTCATCTGAGTCAATCCTTTCCGCCTTAAACAAATTATTTCCATTCAGTGAGAAACCAAACAGGAACAAGAAAAGGGAAAGTACTGACTGAAGGAATATCTCATGTAGAAATCGGGGTCAGCTTTGGTAATGAGCCACGCATATAAATTCTGCAAACTACAAAGATTTATCTGGAAGCAGCATGCACGATCCCGTTTTGATGTTGTTTGTAGAGAACCACCAACAGGAAACCAAATTACATTAATCTTACAATGAAGGCGAGATATTTACTCCACTAAAGAAAACATACAAGTGTTTCTCATCAAACTCCTGTGGGTTCAATCTGATTCAAGGAGACAGAGGCTGCTTTTTTTCTGTCTGTCGCATTTAATTTTGAAACAAGTCTTCTGGATGTTTATAACTGAAACCTTCTCATACAAATAATATATCATAGTGGTCATGATATGGTATGACTCACAATGTTAATTTCTAAAGAGCACTACTACTCTGTTGGTGCCTTGCTTGTAGGATTCTGAAGGCATCTACTGGCTATCAATGGTGGACAACATTCATAGAGCAATGGTGGACAACATTCATAGACAACATTCATAGACCTGGCTACCTTCGAGACCGCCTCCTGCCACAGATTACCTCCCACCGACCTGTACGCTCCCACAGAGTGGGTCTCCTCAGGGTGCCGTCAGCCAGACAGTGCCGGGTGGCGACCCCAAGGGGGAGGGCCTTCTCTGTGGGAGCTCCCAGGGAGACCTTGCTTGACGGGGGTCTCTAGTCCCACTAGGGACTAGAGGGAAGGAAGGCGGCGCGGGAGTTCTGTACCAACAAGGTCGAACGCCCTGACCGGATTCCCTAAAATTTCCCCAAAATTAGTGAAAATTAGCCTAGTCTAAATTTATAAAGTTTTTAATTAATTTTAAATGTGTACTGTATTTTTGTATTTTACCTGATTGTTAGCCGCCCTGAGTCCGTAAGGAGAAGGGCGGGATATAAATGTAATAAAATAAAAAATAAAAAAATGTTGGAAATGCCATAACAAAAAGGAACATTTTACCATTTGTGGTGGTCATGCAAAATATCGGAGGGATATCTTGAGTCCTAGTGGACAATCACCTAAATATGAGCCAGCAGTGTGCTGCAGCTGCCAAAAAAGCCAACACAGTGCTAGGCTGCATTAACAGAGGGATAGAATCAAGATCACGTGAAGTATTAATATTACTTTACAATGCCTTGGTAAGGCCACACTTGGAATACTGCATCCAGTTTTGGTCACCACGATGTAAAAAAGATGCTGAGACTCTAGAAAGAGTACAGAGAAGTGCAACAAAGATGATTAGGGGACTGGAGTCTAAAACATATAAGGAACGGTTGCTGGAATTGGGTATGTCTAGTTTAATGAAGAGAAGGACGAGGGGGGACATGTTCCAATATCTCAGGAGCTGCCACAAAGAAGAGGGAATCAAGCTATTTTCCAAAGCGCCTGAAGGCAGGACAAGAAGCAACAGATGGAAACTAACCAAAGAGAGAAGCAAACTAGAACTAAGGAGAAACTTCCTGACAGAACAATTAACCAATGGAACAACCTGCCTCCAGAAGCGGTGAATGCTCCAACACTGAAAGTTTTAAAGAAGAAACTGGACTGCCATTTGTCCAAAATGGTATAGGGTTACCTGCCTGAGCAGGGGGTTGGACCTGATGACCTCCAAGGTCTCTTCCAACTTTATTATTATTATAAACTCCAAAATATTGGAAAGAAATACACCAAAACATCCAGAAAATTCCACAAGTAAAATTTGAATTGAAGCTATGAATGATTTTTATTAGACATGATTCCAGAGACTACAAATGAAACGCATCACAACTGATTAAGATATATGCCAATAGTGGCAAGAATTAATCACACACACACACCCCAAAATTGCAGGGAATACAACTGAAGGACCAAAATTGGAGA